TCTGTATAGGACTATCATAATCATAAAATATATTTACCAGGAATTATCAGTATCTTTGGATGTATGTTGATCTTCGGTTTTTGAAGTCAAATCTTGTACATTTTTAGAATTTTCTACATTTTTAAATTTTTGAAGAGATTCCCATATCTTCTGTTGACGTCTGATAACACGTCTAGTAAGTGTAAGCAACTGAAATATAATTTATTTTATTATTTCTTAAATTTTATTCTATTTAATACCAAATAATCTAATTTGACAATTCATAATAAGTTCCTTGTTATATTCTTTGTGTAAATTTTATTTGGTTCATTGTGATAAAATTACTTATAATAATTATGTTATATGCACCATATTTACCAATCTACTCATTAATTATATAATTTTCAATATTTTGTGTGTCTATCAATGATATATATCACTGTAATATGGGGTAATCATAATTAAACATGAATTGTTTTTCTTTTCATTTGAGGCTCTTTCTGAAACAAAATTTTATAGATTACATAAGAATGTATAATAAAGAATAATGTTAAATTTAGGGCAAATGCCTAAACTATATATCAAATTAAAGCTTATGATAAAAGGATTATAATAATACCAGTTTCAAGCTGGGTCACTAGATGAGAAAGGTCAAAAATTGCATTTGTTCACCCATCTGTGCATCAATTAATTTTTGCATTTAACCTGTGAAAAACAATAATAAATTGATAACAAAAGTCATTATAAGATACAGTAAGTATCACTTTTCACATGGGCTTTATTTAATTTTTTTTAATACAAATATACACAACCGAAACCTGATATATTAAGCAAATATACACCCACAACTGCCATAAATGATGGGGCTAAATTTGGATATAATGATTATAAATTAGAAATGAATTTGGCACTAGAGTGAAGCATTAGGCACCATCTTGTAGTAAAATTAATAATTATAACATTTAATTAATTAATTTAGATTAAACTGGAAGAAAAGAATCGGCCCAAAGCAGGACTCAAATCCACAACTCCTGCTTACTGGTCGGACGCGTTGCCAGTAACGCTAATTTTCTTAATGCCAAACATTGACTATCTTTAAGGTGGCACAGGTTCTGCAAGTGCATACAAGTTTTACAATCTCAAAAGAACAAGAGAAGTGACTACTGGTACATCTACTACTGGTACTGGTATCTCAGGACTATCACTTTGTCTAAATTTGTTAATAGTATTTTGCATAACATTTAGTATAATGCATACCTAAAGTAAAAATGCACTTTTTACTTTAGTTAAACAAGTGCAATTGTTTACCTTTCTCTATAGTTCCCCATCTTGAAACTGATACAATTGTGTTTCTCTGGTCATAAGTTTTAATTTGATGTATAGTTTAGGAATTCCCTCCAAGGTGACTGGAAATTGCCCCAAACTTAACATTGTCATTTTAAAGCCTTTTAAACAAAGTATATTATCTTCAGGGAATATAAATATTAAACCATTTTTCCCCTTGATTCAAAATTTATCATAAGTTTGTTTTATTCTGCAGTTCAAAATTAGCACAACTTTCAAAACTAACCAAAACTTATATATTCCTTACATACAACAAAACTAAATAATTTGCAACATTTGCATATGAAGAAAAAATACTATAAACAAAGATGAAGAATTACAATCCCACCTTGTATGTTATGTTATTTTTATTTAGCAGTGCTAATAGCCTTATTTATTGAATCTGCCTTGTATATAGAGTGGTTATAATTAAACTGAGCAGTGAAATATAGATAATGCAGTGTGATATAGAGAATCGGCTAATTGTCAGATCACAGTGAAAATTGGTGATTATCTTCCTTACATAGAGAAGAGAATTTGCAAATAAAAAAAAAAATAGTTTTCATGCCACTATTGATAATATTGATACTTTTTATTTTCTTTATTTTAGTGCACCAAGTTGAACAAATGTAACCTTTATTTTACAAATCAAAATTTTCAATATATGAACCATGAGTAAAACATTCTGAAAATATAATACAGTATGATCCATATGTGCTTGAAGCATGTCTTAAAAAATGGCTGAAACATGCTATGCTATCCTTGTCTTCACTTCAGTAAGTAAGTGAATATTTCCTTCATAAACTTGGTTTTTCAAATAACTCTATAACCAAAAGTCAGCAGAGGCATTACTACCATCATTTTGGTAAGAGTTTTATTAGCACAGCTTATGTCAGATCAGTGGCTGTGAGATCCCACTCACTATAATCAGGATGGTTAAGACTTTTATGTTAAGAAGACTGAGAGATTGCAAAATCACCATCTATGTCAGGAGCCTGACACCAGTTAGGATTACTGTACACATCCCAACTCGCATTTAAAATGAATTTCTAATTATTTCTAATTAAGGCTGTTTCACACTATGAGCGACTAGACCGACTGGCCCGACTCCAAGTCGTGTTGCCATGGCAACAGCAGTCTGCAGACCGACTAGTCATTCCAGTCGGACAGATTTGAAAAGTTAAATATTTGTAGTCAGGTTGGAGTAGTTGGTGAGCTACAGCCAATAAGAGCTTCGAAGCTATAACCAATCAGTTTAGATTTATCAAATCTACGTCGAAGTTAGAAAATGACGGAAAGTATAGATTTCTTGGAAGCTTTAATAAATGAAGTCAGAACATATCCGTGGCTTTATGATATTCGGCGAGCCGATTATAAAGACAACATAAAAAAAATAATTCTTGGATGGAGATTTCCAAGAAAATAAACTTTGAAGGTACATGATTGAATAATCTAACAATGACGCAATATATCTAAATGCACGATCGCTTTCCATGATAGCCATGTTTTCTGTTTAATTTAAAAAACTTACCATGATTGGTTAGTGTATTGATCTATAACACGTGTTCTGATTGGTCGTTATGAGTCGGCCACCGACATATAATCGTACTTAGTGTGAATGCTTTTACTACTAGTCGGTTCGATTATAAAATCGGTCGGGTCAGACCGGTCGGTCCAGTCGGTCATAGTGTGAAACAGCCCTTAGTCTGATTTTAATCCAAGTGGCAAATGAAAATCTAGAAGGGAGTCTCAGACCAACAATGGAGCTGGAGCTAGACACCTAGACATAGTACAATAATAATAAAACTATTTATTTAAATTATAAACTATACATTTGGTATAATACACAAATAAAAATAATAATAATAAGAATAAAAAAATAAAGTTTCCATTTGCCAATCTATTATTCAATTCCTTTAAATCTATCTTAAGAGAGAGAGCTGTAAAGCCATGGTCACACCATGTGATTTCCAGCCTCATAGGCAACCGCAACTGCAACAAGGGTGAGTCACGCGTGTCTTCTCATGGTCACAAATTGTTCGCTGGGGTTGTGATTCAGAAACACATGACCTTATAATAAACCAATAAAATTACAGTAACTTGTTTTTGACTACTTTCGTGAGTTTACAGATGGTTTACGTTCTACTTTAAAGTATTTACGGAATTTTAGCCACTTTTCTTATTAAAATGGCAAGCAGTACCTTTTCTGCAATGAATAAAAGAAAAAAGGCAATCATTTTGATAGAGCTAGCAAGAATATAAGAAGAGATAAATCTTCGATAAAACGAAGAATTAAAATCCCACAGGCATTGATGAGCCTGAATAAGCTCGATCAATCTTGATTCTGTAAAAGTATCAATCCTCTAACTTTCCGTCACAATGATGAACTATTTTCAATGTTGTCACCATATGACGTGGCTCAAAGGCATTTGCTGATTGGATGCACATTTGCAATCGGCATGAGTAGAACAAATTTTTCTGTTTCTAGTTGCGGTTGCAGTCATGCCAGTTTTCGAAGGGAGTTTACTAGTTAACGAAAACAGCGGTTGCAATTGCCTGCAAGGCTGGAAGTCACAAGGTGTGACCACAGCTTGAGAGAGAGAGAGAGTGTTACAGTCAAATGCAATAACTCATTTCTTTTCTTTATTTTCTTCTGAGTCATTGACAGGGCTGGCTATATTTTTTCCTGCAATTGGCAAGGAACTCCTTTTCATTCAGACACAACTTTCCAGTGAGTTGTTTCCAATTCCAGCTCTCTGGACATTGGTGTGACCAATCTGACCATTCATCTGGGGCTATTCAAGTCATCTGAGGAGAGAGAAGCAACAAGGAACCTCCTTGTGGAGTTGATATCAAAATCAGCATCTCTCCTCAGAAACTTCCTTTAACACGTTCATGGCGTCACGAGTCACATGTGCCTCGTGACACCGTGAACGTGTTAAAGCAAGGACCCCTCATCAGCTTACAAACACACAGCACCAACATATAATTATAACACTAATAGTTAACCAATACAAAGGAATTTTTGATATATACAATGCACTGTATTTACAATGTTTAATATAACCCATATACTAAAGAACTAAAACTATCGAGCATAAAATTTATTTATATAATAAAATAATGTGATATATCACATTGTTTGGGACCAGTAAACGTCTTATTTTCTCCCACATTTTCTGAATTCTGGTAGACAGTTCCACTATTAATAATAAAATATTGTTAAGTATATTAAAAACCAAAAGGGAGGGAACTAACAATGAACTTACTATTATTAAAATAATTGGTTTCCAGATCTTAAACAAAACAAATACACCAAATCCATAAGACTGTGTGAAGCCAACTGTCTTGTTACAATTCATTTTACAATGTGATGTGACTTAACATTGAAACAGATGTAGGAGTAATGTAAAAACAATATCATTCCACCCTTCATGTAGATTCAGTCCCATGTTATTATTAATTCTAATGAGTTTTATTAGCACAGCTTATGTCAGATCAGTGGCTGTGAGATCCCACTCACTATAATCAGGATGGTTAAGACTTTTATGTTAAGAAGAAGACTGAGAGATTGCAAAATCACCATCTATGTCAGGAGCCTGACACCAGTTAGGATTACTGTACACATCCCAACTCGCATTTAAAATGAATNAAATTGTTTTTGATGACATATATATGTTCTTTAACTCTTTTCTTTAATTTTCTACCAGTTTCACCAATGTATCTTTTTTATGTGAACAACTGCAATCTAATGAATAAACTATATTATCTTTTTCTAAATATGTTTATTATTTTTATATTTACTGTTAATCATTTTTGCTATGGTTCTTGTAAGGTTTGGCACTAAAATAATATCTAAATTTTTAAATTCATTTTTTAATTTTTCAAAAACACCAAAAACATATTCCATTTTAAGATACAAAGTCTTAACAACTCCTGGTTGTCTATTTAATATGACACTTTCTCTTTTCCTTTTACTTGTTTCTAACCACTTTAATAATAATGTTCTAGGGTAATTATTTAAGCTAAACATTCTTATTATAATTTCTATTTCCATTTCTTGATTATTTTGCAAGGTCATTCTCTCTTTAATTTTGTTGATATACATCTTAAAAGCATTCTTTTTTATATATAAAGGTATATTAGATTTGAAGTGTATAACTTTACCGATATCACAATCTTTAACATACTTTTTAAATAATAATTTACTATTTAATCTAGCTATAGTAAGTTCTAAATAATTCAGACTATTATCTATTTCTTTTTCACATTGGAAATGAACATTTTTATTTATTAAATTAATTTCATTAACAAAAGAATCAATATCTAGTATGCTTTTATCATAGACAATGAAACAGTCATCTACATATTTTTGATAAATTATTACACCTCGAGTTTTATTGATTTCTTTATCAATTATGATCATACACAACTCTGTCAATCTAGGACCTATGCAAGATCCCATTGGAATACCTTCCGATTGTTGATAATATTTACCTTGAAATTCAAAAAAGTTGCTATTTAACACTAATTTTACTAATTGATTAACCCAATCTGGGCTTCTTGTGTAGGATAGTGAATTTAAAATTAATTCTAAATTTATTGAGGGATATATATTGTTAACATCCAGTCATGCCATCCTATAGTTTTCCTTCATAACAATAGCTTTCATGCCCTCCAAATTGTTAAATCCTATTTACTAGGCTATCTAACTATCTAAATTAAAGTCGTGTGCTAAAAGCGTCATTTATTATTATACTTAATTTATATTCGTGTTGTAGGATTATGTTAAAAAACTTTTTTAAACACCAACATTAA